CGTAAGTCGGGGTATAATTTCTCAATTTGTGTAAACTCCAAGTTGGATGTATATAAGCTAATAAATGTTCCCGTTAATCTTATCTCGTCTTTTGATTCGTTCACGGTTACAAGAATTCACCACATAGAGTCTCTCAAGTCCCCATAGATATAACAAACACAGAAATAAATAACACAAAATAAATTGTAGCTATGCGTCAATTCTGCTCGACACGTCCAAACATGTAAGCTGAACAATAGTGTGGGGAGAGTGAGTAATCAAGAGTTGCGTGGAGCTCAAACAAAAGACGAATCGACAAGATTTGAAAATCGCATAACTCCAGATTCGCGTAAGTCGGGGTAGCATAAGTCGAGGTATTACTGTGTAATAATATTTACCAGTATATATATAAGTTTTCTTGTAAAAGTTTTTTCTAATTGTTCTAAAATATTCTGATTATTTATGTTAGAATATTTACACATACACATCTAATATGCTAATAAGTTCTAATACAAATATAAACGTCTACAATTGAAATTGATTAAAAAGTAATATTAAACAAACATTTTTATAACAAATAGGTAATAAGGTATATAACATGCATTCCTAATATTCAAAGTGTCCACCAAGTGCTTTGATACTGATCTTCATCTTTGATCTCCACTCTTTATGGCAGTATGGATATTTTCCATAAGATAGTCCACCATTCTCGAAGAAGAGATTTCTTGACAGCCTCAACATTTGTGTTTTAGTCCAAACCTTTAACTCAAACATTGACCATAGAGTAATCTAATGGTTTTAGGTCAGGTGATATGGCAGGCCATTCTTTCTTCAAAATGACATCTGGAACTTTTTCTTTTAACCAATCCAGTTGGTTTTGGTACTGTTGGCCAGAGCTGAGTCATGCTGAAAAATGCAAGTTTGATTTTTGAAGAGTTCTATTCAATGGTTCTACCACTACCACTGCTTGGAGAATCTCTGTCTTTAGTTCATGGTAATCACTTCAACTCTTGTTGACATAAAACAAAGTTCTGCTTTTACTTGCCCAGATTCTAGCCCACACCATCACACTTCCTGGATGATAAGCCCTTAGAGACTTCCAGATAAGCAGGGGAATATCTTTCACTGACTTGAGGTAAACATGATCATCTTGCATGTTAAATTAGCAGTATGAAATTTTCATCTGTAAAGAGAATATTTTTTACATCATCTCCATACCTCTGAAAAAGGCAGTCATAGTGAACCACTTTTCTTCTTTTGAGAATGCATCCACATGTGGTAGGTACCACACTTTAAAAATTTAAACTTGTAGTCCTTTTTCAGTGCCAGAAGAATGGTTTATCTTGAAATGTTCATCTGTAAGGCCAATTTCTTTGACATTGGCAAGGATTTCTTCTTATTCAGTTCTTCAGTCTTAAGTATTCCCAAAGTCCTTTTATCCCTTAGAAAATCACTTCTTGATCAGTTCTCAATACTGTTAGTTTCCTTGGTGTAACATACTATGGAGAGATAAGTTTAGTTTGTAACATTCCCACACTTAAGCAGACGGCAAATTTCAGATTTCTTAATTCCTTTAAAGAAAAAACAAGCTGCAGAATTTCTCATCTTCTTTTTAGTTCCTTCATGACTTGACTAACAGAACAAAAACTGCAACTTATCTAACTAAGAACTCAAGAAATATTCGAACTGTAAGTGTAAAGAACATGCAGAAAATTTAAATGCAAAAACTAAAGCAAATTTTGTAACAGAACTTATTAATAAACAGTATATAATACAGTAAATATATAATGTTAGAAAAATATACAATGTAATAATACATTCAATTTTTCAAATATTTTTATAATTGAATGTTAAAGGAAAAAAAAATATATTTATGATATAAAGGATATCTTCTTTATACATCTAAGAAATATAGCTGATGAAGTAAGTAAAAGTAATTTTCAAATAGAAATTTCAAACAAAACTTAAAACAGTTGAATGTATTATACTTATACTTAACTATTTTTTTTTCTTTTAATATATAAATTAAAAGAAAAATTATATATATATAGTATATAGTATAATATTTAAAATATATAAATTAAAAAGTTGACATTAACACAGTAAATCGTTGACTTACAAGCTTAATTTGTTCCAAAGGTTTCTGTACAAATTGAAGAACTATGTTAAATCATTCTTTAAAAAGAAGTTAACAAAGGATTATATAGTTCAAATCTGGCACTCACTGAGCAATTATCAACTTTTCAGACTTTTAAAATAACTCTTGGAAAGCAAACATTTTTCAAGCAATGAGAACATTCAAGACAGAGGCAAACAACTTTACTTTAAGCTATGATTCAAAATTCTAATGCAGACCCTCTTCCCAATCCAACCCCCACCACAAAAGAGGGAACTTGCATCCCCAAAAAAAATTCTTTAGCCTTGACTGAAAAAGAATCACCCAGTCCATGGAAAAACAATTGTTTTGATTGTGGGCGGTAAACTTTTTGCTTGGCATATTCAGGCCTCCATTGACTCCAGGACTCAGCTTGGTCAAACCATGTTGCACTACTGTAGTTTTGCCACTGATTCAAGAACATGTATTATAGTGACTCAGGCAGTAATCAAAAAATTTTTATGCTTTATCGGCAGATGGTAGAATGCTCTGATAAATGTCTAAATATTTACAGAAATTTTTTTTGAAAAGTGAGGTTTATAATAGAAATTTTCTTGTTTATATTTGGCAAATGTCTGTTTGTGACCTAGTTACTGACATACTCTAATATATATTTATTATCTTTTTGCATTTAGTTAAGTTTGTTTTATGCCAGTAAGTGTACTTTATATATTTCTTTTTAAATATTTCATTTGATTTTGTCTTAAAATTTAAATATCTACACCAGTGTTTCCCAACCTTTTTTGTGCTATGCCCCATCTAAGCCTTTCTAAAATTCTTATGCCCCCCTAACATATCGTTGGTGCACAAGAATAGTGACACAACTCAAAAAAATAGATCTTCCAGAACAGCCATTTTCAAATCTTTTTTGGAAATAAATATTAGTGTTCGTTCTTTCACATAAAAATATGGGGAGTTTGCTATACATTTCTACAATAAACTCAAAATTGAAAATTTTTGAGTTGTGTCACTATTCTTGTGCATCAACAATATATAGCAGCTACTCAATTAACTTAAACTCTGGATGAATCCATTTTCGAACTGCCCCCTTAACAATCCAATTGCCCCTGTGGGGCATGGGCCCCACATGGGAAACACTGATCTATACAGTCTGATTGTTCCAAAATTGTAATGTTGAAATTTTCAAATCTGATGTCTCCCCAGAGTAGCTGAAAATATTTGTTTATTCTAAATTTATTATAAAATTTATCATTCATAAAAATTTTTCTATTCATAAATTATTCTAAATTTAAGCTCAGTATTAATCCAACATAAATTTAGAAAAATCAAAAAACAGAATTTAAATATTTGGACAGCAAAAAAGTAAATCAACTTATAAGTAACATTTGATATCATATATAACATATACAGAGATGATTTTCAGACAGTCAGCCTCTCAGGTCACCAACCTTGGTTTCCATATAGGAGGCAAGATCATCAATATTTTAAGGTACACTGATGATACAACTTTATTGGCTAAGTCTGAAGAAAATCTGGTCATGTTAATTAAGAACATAAAAGATGAGAGTGAGAGGATGGGCCTAAAGGTAGACATCCAAAAGACCAAGGTCATGACAACAGCTGAATGCATGGGAAAGTGACAATAGATGACTTCAAACTAGAGATTGTGGATGCCTTCATCTTCCTTGGCTCAAAGTTAAGCAGAACAAGAGAATGTACAGAAGAGATCAAATGAAGGTTAACCCTAGACCACACCACTCTAACCAAGATGGACAACATCTGGAAAAGCCGAGATATCACAATATCCAGTATGGCCAGACTGGTCCAGGTAATTGTGTTCCCAATCACAACCTATAACTGTGAAAGCTGGACAGTAAGAAAAAACGATAGAAGAAGGAATAGATGCTTTTGAACTTTGGTGTAGGCAGTGGATTCTCAGAATTCCGTGGACAGCTAGAACAACAAATAAAGCAGTCCTGAATAAAATTTGGCCACAAATCTTTCTGGAGGCAAAGATTGTTTGCTTGAAGCTAAAGTTCTTTGGTCACACCATTTGCACCAACTCCCTAGAAAAACAGATCATGCTGGGAATGGTTGAGGGATATAGAAAAAGGGGATGGCAACGCACCAGGTGGATGGATAACATCAAAGCAGATAACCACCTGGACCTCAAATCCCTGAAAGACTGGGCACTGCACAGAACTCACCAGAGGAAACTCATCTATGAAGTCACCAATAGTTGTACACAACTCAATGGTTGAAGAAGAATATCATATACATGTTTAAAATACTGACAAAACTCATCAGAAAACATCAGGATGTTGTTAGATATAGAAAATGTTTTAAAACTTTTAAATTTCATTTATGAATCTTTATAAGTAGCAACAGTGCCATACCTTGTAAATTTTTTAAATTAATAAAGACTATTCTGTCTTTAATTTAAAATATAACTAATCCGTAATAACTAAACTATTCTGTCTTTATTAATAACTAATAATATGAAAATAAGGATAATTAATGCAATATTAACAGCCTTGAAAATTTCCTGCATCAATTATTGATTGAATAATTCAATTATAATTAAAACAGAATATTTAGTATTAATCAAATATGTATAAATTATATAAATTCTACAAACAAAAATGCTGAAAAGATTGCATAATTTATAAGAGTTAGCAATATATTAAACTATTTTTTAGCTAAATTTATCTAAAATACAAATTACATACAGGCTAAAATTAAGCTAATTAATTAATTATACTACAGAATTAATACTTAATTCCATAATTTAATAATTAGCTTAATTCTCACCTGTAAATAATTTGTATTTTTGACGTTTAGCAACACATTACCTGATAAACATAAATTTATATCAAATCATACAACCAGTAGTTTTCAAGTTAGTTTTTTTTATCATTAAACTTTTTCAACTACATTCCCCAGATATTACATTGACATTGGTTATTAATAACTTCTTTTTCCATATTTATAAGTATCTTTCTATCGTACCTGTTAAAATTTCTCAAAGCTGATAATTAAATTTATAATTAGCCAAAAATTAAAGTAAAAATACTTTAATTTTTGGCTAATTATATCTAAATTATATTAAATTTGGCTAATTATTTTTTATTGGCATAAAAAATTTATATCAAAGTAAAATTATTTTTACTTTGATATAAATTGCAAGAATGCATATACAAGTTTTACAAAAGTTTTATTATTACTTGAACATTTTTAAAATGTATTTCATTTACAAAGCTCCTTCCTTTTTCATAAAAGTCATAATAACAAAATATAATTTTTTATGTCACTTTTACATAGCTCATATAAGTATTGCAGTAAACAAAATCAACTAAATGCTAAAATCTTTAATCACAAATAAAACTCTGTACTCCTGAAAAAATCTTTTCAGACATTTAATCCTAACAAGAAAAAAAGCATAGCAATTTTTATTGATTGTGGCTATCAAACAAGCTAAAAGTTTACTCTTTCAATCACTACATCAATGTATTTCTATTAATAGGACTTATCATACTGGTGTATAAGATTACAGCCTCACAGTTACACAGATTAAAATTGTTTTATTTTCAATTACCTGTTTTTCAATTATTTTCAATTTTCAATAAAACAATTTTAATCTGTGTAACTGTGAGGCTGTAATCTTATACACCAGTATGATAAGTCCTATTAATAGAAATACACTGATGTAGTGATTGAAAGAGTAATTTTGATTAAATTAAGGACATAGATGCATATTAATTAAGCTAAAAGTTTTTTTTTCTTTTCTTTTATTAAAATAACTGTCATTTCTATTTATTAAATTATATTCAATTTATAAACAGAAATATGCTTATACTGTATCTACAATAAAATCATTCTAATAAAAATTTATTGTTTCCATAATATTTCTCATGTAAAATAAATAGTAATATATAAAAGCAGTCAAATTCTTTAGCATCATTTATTTAATCTTACAATTCTGCTGCAAAAATTATTATTATAAAATTATTTTATTGAAAAAAATCATCTAAATGTAATTATTTCTGTTATTATAATTTAACAAATTATGAATCATTATTACATTCTGTGGATTTTACACATACAATATAATACAAATCAACTATTATCATTTATAATTAAGGCATTTTGTAAATTTGTGTAGAAATTTATTTTCTGAGTACAGTATATACAAGTATGATATGTACCGTACATTTCAAAGGTGTTTCATTCACTCGTATAAATACGAGCAGATCTAGGTTATTCAGGGCCTACAGCTTATTGAAGTCCAATGGGCCCCATTTTTTGTTAGATTAAGTATCTTTAAATTGGGGTTTAAAATTCATTTTTAATAACATCAAAATCAGAGTTGAAATATATTTATTTACGAAATGGTGTTGAATGACAAACTTTATATCTTATATAAAAAACATAAGAAATAGAATATTAAAAATTTGTGATAATAATTCAATTTTTGTGGGCCCTTTACACTTGGGGCCTAGGGCCCTATTACTTCCTATGTAGATCCACCACTGTGTATAAACCATCATCTCAACATTTGCATTATTTCTTTTAAATGTAATGAAAATCTACAATGGAAACGATCTCGGCAAATTGTGAATGTTGAATAAAAGGTAAAAATAAAAGATCGTTGACCTTTTGTATACTAAACATAGGTCTTATTAAACTCAAAAAATACGATACATATGTTTCACTGGCATTTACGTTTAACACTATAAACAATATAAATATTGTCATTTTAAAAGAAAAAACAAAAACATTAAAACGTAATAATTATATACCAGGAATTTCATCCGCATCCTCGTCTTCTGCCATCTTCCTAACTGTTCACGATAACAACGGTTTTAACAGGCAACAACCATGCTTCTTACGTCATAGGTGTTTAAACAACAAATAAAATTTCGTTTTATGTATAAAATGGCCATCACAATGATAATTTATAAACGCATTTGATTTTGCCGCTCGGATAGTTATTTTTAGTATTTTTCCTACTATATACGTTTCATAAATAGAACATAGACCTAATTTCATTAATTAAATTTAACGTCGCGCATTTCGTTGATACTTTTCGGAATATTTTGCGTTAAAAATCTTTATATCATAACTTTAATGAGTTCTTTTGACAATATTTTAGTATTTTATCTAATTTGAAATATTAAAAAATTATTTCAAGTCAACGATTTTAATTTTTATTGCTCTTAATCGTAGAAAATGTTATATAACCTGTTTAATTAAAAAAAAACATCGAAAAATAATATTGAAATTACTAAATTAATAAAATATAAATATGTTAAAAAGACTTCGTCATGTTCATTCTAAAATATCAATAAACAATAAAAACAAGTTTATAATGATGAAATAGTATTTCGTCATTATGAACTTGTAATATTAGTAAAAGTAGTATTTCATCATTATGAAAGTTCAAATTATCGAAACATCAAAACATTTATAATGACAACAATGGTTGATCGATCCACCCGCAATAATCGTCGTGCACATGTTACTCACTTATAATTTATTCAAATAAATATTTTTGTTTTTTGAGTTAGGATACTTCTGGACCCGTCACTACTTTTACAAGAATTTTTTTTTACAAGAACCCCTTCAACGTAGTATCGCCCCCTTCACTTCAAAATTCCGATGCCGAGGGCCAAGGCTAACACCAAATTCGTACTGCATTGAATAGACTAGTGACTAGTATAATGTTATTTGTTTAACTATTGTACGATATAACGAATAAAATATCTAATTATTCTTAATATTATGTTTTACTATTACTATATCGACCAGAAAATTGTTTTTCGCCCCCAAAATATAAATTGTTACTAATCGCCCCTCAACATAAAAAAACGCCCACGTGGGAGCGATATCACCACCGTTGAGAAACACAGGTCTACAAGAACAGTTCTATTGTGAGGTCGGCCGGATGGCCGAGCGGTCAAGGTGGCAGTCTACCACTCTGCGGGATCCAGGATCGAATCCGGACGAGTCAAAAGTCTCCAGGATATTCTTGGGGTGGTCGGTCCGGATATGTCCGTCAGCCCCTGTCCCTCATCACCCGGCCGCCTCATTATGGGCCTGGCCGAACCCATAATGGGCTTGCTAAAAGAGGCCCTCTTAGTGTTCACAGAGCAGAAAGAATTAAAAAAAAGTTCTGTTGTTAATTGTTGAACTTATTTCATTATCAACTCATTGTTATAATTATATTGATGTGATTTACTTGAATCTTGTGTTTTCCTGTTTTGACTTAGAGCTAAATCCTACTATCACTATACCTCTAATAGTTGTTTTTAAGACATGAGATATTATACAGTAGAACCCGGTTAACTCCAAACGGTCGGGAAAACCAAATTCAAACTTCGAGTTACGGAAGTTCGGCTAAAAATCAAGTTTTTGTGCAAAGGTTTATTGACGACCCACAATAAATTATCCATACGACATTTCCCCGTGTCTTATTACGTAGAATCGTTTCGTCAATGTAAACCTCTCGGTGTTGTCTAAGAACTCGAAAACGCTTAACCGAATAATTAAATAAGCTACTGAAAAATGTTTTTTTGAATAGTTGATCATTTCTATTTTAAGTTTTAGTAAGAAAGGTTTTTTTTTTAATTGCGACACTTCACGCCTGAAATCCATCTGTTTTTTATTTTTTATCACTAATATACCATTATTTACGACATATTATTAAAATGCTACCACAAAGGTTAAAACTTTTACACAGAATTAGATTATAATCGCGTTTTTTAAAATTAATTTATTAAAAATCCATTTATTTATTATGTCAACTAGTCCATCCATCAGCAATAAAATAAAATGTTCGGAAAAAAGCAGTATCTATCAATTATAGTATCACTTCCACGGTGTTTTACTTTTAGTCGTAGGTGCTTCCCGCGTTTTATTTATGTTTCTGATTAGTTTATTCGATAGATGAACGTTAATTAATTTTTTTAAATGAAAATTCTGGAGCGTTTGTGAAAATACTGTATCGAAACCCCATTTGAGTTAATTAAACAGTTCGACAAAATCTAGTTAACCAGTTTGATTTAACGTGTATATGCTAGATCAGGCATGACCAACATATATTCTGACTCCTAAAAAAAAAGGTCGACAGCTCGCTGTGAGTTTAGAGTTAACCCTCCATTACAAATATCTCTCGTAAGTACAGCGTAGAATGTTAATAAAGCATGATGATGTGAAAAATGTATCCGTAATCTCTATGTACAATTTAGTCTCTACGGGGTAACACCACAATGAGATTTCGCACCACCTCAAAATCTTCCTAGGGCAGCCTCTGGTTCGGCCCGTGGAAAAAGTTTTCTTTCCAATTCGGCCCGGGAGCAAAAACTGTTGGCCACCCCTGTGCTAGACTATCAGGGAAAGAAAATGATTTCGAATTAACCAGGCTCCACTGTATATTGAATAATTTAAAAAGCATTCCGAATACTTATTTAATTAATACATAAACGATACTTAAAATAAATAATTTATTAATAAGAAGAATAACGTATACAATATATGAATTCGCATCTAAATAAATTATAACTCTTTTGGCCCTGTGTTCACAAAAGGCTTTTTTCCTACGCCATTATGAATTTGGTTAAGCCAATCGGATGAAGGACGGGGTCCTGCGTAACTGAATAACCCACATGAAAATTTTTGATCCAATTCAGAATGATGGGAGTGAACCCACTCCCCACATACATCGATCACTATAATACGATTACACGCACACACCATGATTAAATTAGTCGGGTGTTTTGGGTGAAGGAATATAATTTTTTTAAACTCTTTCTGAGTAGTGAAGAATGGTTCCGATATAACCAAAGCCCGAAAATATTTCTGGGGTTTAAAGAAAGAGTTAAAAGAACCTTTTTTATTAATTCCATTATGGGTTCGGCCAGACCCACAATGGAACGGCCAAGTGATGAAGGACGGGGCCCGACATATACAGACGGACCACCCCCAAAATTTTCCTGGAGATCTTTTGACCCGTCCGGATTCGATCCCAGCTCCCCCAGAGCGATAGGCCTCCACCTTGACCGCTCGGCCATTCGGCCGCGATGAAGGAAGATTTGAGATGATAGTAAGTTAAATAAAAGCATTGGACGCTAGAACTAATCTCAGTTATTATTAATACACATAAAAAAAGATGAAATTAAAAAATTGGTTATTCATTTCTTCATAACATTACATAAATTTTCCCTAGGCCGGATGGCCGAGCGGTCAAGGTGGCAGCCCACCGCTTTGGGGGACCCGGGCTCGAATCCGAACGGGTCGAAAAATCCCTAGGAACTTTTCGGGGGGGTGGTCCGCTCGGATATGTCGGGCCCCGTCATATCCGAGCCCCACCACCCGGCAGCCCCATTGTGGGCCTGGCCGAACCCATAACGGGCTTGCAAAAAGAGGCCCTCTTAGTGCCCACAGGGCGGAAAGAATTAAAAAAAAAAAAAAAAAAAAAAAACGAATTTTCCACGACGGCAGGATAGCCGAATGGTCAAGATGACAGCTTTCCTCTACGGTAAAGCCGGAATCGGATCCGGACAGGAAGAAAAAAACCCCAGAAATATTTTCGAACTTCGTTTGGTTATGTCGGGACCGTTCTTCACTACTCAGCCATCTCTTCATAGGCTTGCTGAAGGCAGAAAGAGATTAAAAGAATAAATAAATAAAACTTTTGCCAAGTGAGGTACGACATAACAAGATTCGGGAAGTGAAATTCTGAAAACATGAATTAAAAAAAATAATATATATATATATTTATTTATTTATAAATAACATATACGTAAATATAAGAATTAGTTACATAAAACTTTTTCAATTACATTACGAATCGAATTAGGTTCTAGTCGTTTAACGATTTTATTATTTACATTTGAGAGGGCATTGCGTAAGTAGAAATAGTTGATACGTTTTAGTAAAAGAATGCGAAGTAATTCAATTTCCTCTGTTTTATCTAAATATTGATAGAAATGAAGTCATTATTTAATCGCGATTTTCAATAAAATATAAATAGTTATTTCTTTTCGTAGTTATTCGAAAGTTTAAATTTTGAAAAATGACATTGAAATGTCGCACTCTCTTGATTTGGATTTAAAGGATTTTAATGTTTAGAATAATTTAAACATTACATTCAAATTACATTAAAGTTTAATGTAAATGGTGAAAGATTACTATACTTTTTCACACATTAATTATTTTTCTATTTGAATTTTTATGGAATTTTATATTTATTATAGTTTTTTTAAACAAATGATTACAATAAAAATCTGTTTCAGATATTTATTGCGAGAATGACATCTATTTTTGGTGACTTTTCTCAAGTAAACGATCATTTATTTATCTCGTCGGCAAGAGCTGTGACAGTAACTAATCTACAGAAAAATAGAATTACCTATGTTGTAAATGTGACAAGAGAAATTCCGATTTTACATATCAAAGATATTCAGTTTTATAAAATTCCTGTAAGTATTTTGTCAGATATTACTTTGCGTTTTATTTCATTTCACTAGATTAATTAAATTTTAGATACTTTATATGTATTGTGATGAAAATTCATATATTTGTCCTACTGTCGTCGACAAAACAGTTAAACACCCAGATAGAATTGTCTGATTGCTGTAGAATTTGGCATATAGATATGTAAATGATTAGGGTTGTGATCTGATTGTGTGCCATGATGAGTTTTGAGAAAAACTGAATCATTGAACTGGAGGAAGCAGATAGCTGTTCCAATGCTCATCATCTGGACTATTCTGAATTGATTGAACAGTGTTGGAGGCAGTGGATGTCAGGGCACATATGTCCAGAGCCTGGCTGCCTCAGTTGGACCACTCAGATGATCATCTGTCTTTTAGTCAATGAGTGTATACAGAAGTATATGAAAATTGAATTACCTTAATATTTAATAAGATTTACATAACCCCTGTTGATATTAGGTCATTCAGGTCTTGTTTATTTGAAAGATCCTATATTCTCTTTGCATTATGTTGCTTCATTATTAATTAAACCAAATTCTAGTAAAAAGACATTTAATATTTACCAATAAACAAATATTTTTGACAATTTTCAGCTATCATCATTGAGTTAATTTCCAGTGTTCAAAAACAGAATGCAGTAATGGATTTAGAAATTCAGGAGTCTTAATTAAGAACTTATTTAATGTGTAATAAAATCATATTTTTAATTATGAGATCCAAATAGTTAATTTAGTATTTATGATAATGATTTAAAAATTTGAATTTGATTTCTACTGTTTGCGTAAAGCATAATTTATTATACAGGGTGGACCAAAAAGAATATACGTATTTCAAACTGATATATTTAATAAACTGTAAGACATTCAACTATGGAACTTGGGACACATATTTATGAAACTCTCTAGTTTAGATTACAGGTGTTCAATATGTCCTCCACCAGCAACACGAACGGTCCGGGCGGGAGTTCCGTCCGGGTGTCCGGGAACCGGGGTCCGGGCGGGAGTTTGGTCCGGGCTTCATAACTAACCTGCGTCTCAAAACACGCCAAACTGTTGTTTTAGGCAGCTGCAATTCCCGACTGGCACGACGTGTTGATTTTGAAGGGCTACGTTGGTAAGCAGCTTGAATCCGTGCGACATTTTCTTCAGATACACGAGGTCGGCCAGGACTCTTTCCTTTACATACACAACCTGTGTCAACAAACTGACGGTACCATCTGCGAATGTTCCATCCATTCGGAGGATCAATTTCGTACCTCAACCGGAAACGTCTTTGCACTGTAATCACGGAATTACACTTCGCAAGCTCAAGAATACAAAAGCTTTTGTGCTGTGGCGTAGCCATTTTACAACAACTGTGAATACGTCATTGTAACCAAGCACAACTGACATCTGGGGACAAACTAGACAATGCACTCGTTCCTCCGATACCCGCAGCACACCGCTACTATCGATAGTTTAATAAATATATCAGTTTGAAATACGTATATTCTTTTTGGTCCACCCTGTA